GTTGAACCATGTACCTCTTATTCTATACCTGTACATTTGGTTTTTCTTGCCTAAGTGTAAAACCTTACTTTTACCTTTTGCCACCTTCTGACAAGTAAAGTCAATGGGGAAGTCAGATTCACTTAGCAACCATGTTGCTAACTTAACATCTGCAGCGATTCACTTAACAACTGTGGCAAAAAAAGGTCATACAATGGGGCAAAACTCACTTAACAATTGTCTCACTTAGCAACAGAAATGTTGGGCTCAAATCAGTGGTGGGTTGCCCCCGTTCGGATGGGTTCTATAGAACTGGTAGTAAAGCCAGAGGGAGGCTCCCTCCACCGACCCCGACGTCATCACAATGCTTCTGCGCATGCACAGAAGAGCAAAGCGAGCGCGCACACGTGGCCCCGTTGCGAACCAGTAGTAAAGGTAAGTAGAACTCACCCCTGGCTCAATTGTAGTCATAAGTCAAGGACTACCTGTACTTTCCCCAAAAACGAATTCACTTTAAAACAACGGCCTTAACAACATTCTCAAAGGACACACATCTGGCTCCAAAATGTCTTCAGCGTTAGATGTGAATCATTCCCATAAATGTCCATAATTTGAACTGTATTTCCTTTCTCACTGTATCACACGGCTGATTTCACCCCACCCCATCTCGGATCACTTTTTCCTGGCAACTGCAGTTCAGTGGAGCACAGTACAAGTTATAAGGAAAAGGCTGCCAAGAGTCAGGACTGTTTTAAAAAAAAACCCTCACACATCATTTCCACTGGATTGATAGTGTTCACGGACAATTGGAAGGTTCTTTTATTTTAAGAACATTTGCTCAAGCTCATAGGATTTATAAAAAGGGTAACAAAAATAAAGCAGGGAAGGTCTTTATTTTTTCCAAATGTTTCAGCAAGACCATGAACCTGAACTGGTCTTTCTAGAGTGGGAATGACACAAGGGAAGGGGACACATCCTCAGGAAAGGGTGCAGCTCTTCTTATCTGACAGCTGCCCCAAAATCACAATTGATGTTAACCTCTGTGAGACTTTTCTGGGAAAAAGGGGGCAGAAAGGGCACAAGATGAGAGAGCTTCTCCTGACAACATAAACAAAAGGGAACATAATTTATTGTCCCAGCATGATAACATTACACTGCAAAACAACTTGCAAATCAAAAAGACAAGATCAAAAGAATAAAACAATAAGTAAAAATAGCAACCTTCTGTGTAAGGGATAGAACAATCTCCAACAATATTTTTTTTTAAAAAATCACACAAAAGACACATGATCAGAAAATTCTGCAATTCCCAACCTCTGGCTAGGTGATATCACAACTAGATCAACATTTTCCATGAAAGAATCCCCACCCACCCCAGTCCTACCAGGATAGCCAGTAATACAGATATGACATTTCCAAAGAAATTGATTTATCAATGTCTCCATATAGTACATTTAGTCAACTCTATATAGTTAACTAAAACCTCCCTATAGAGAAAAGTTGAACTTTTCTCTATAGGGAGCATATGCCTGCAATCAGAAGCAGTGCAGAGAAGGCCCAATTGGATCAGTATTAGCTTAGTTACCCTAAAGAGAAAAAAATATATTAATTAGATGGGCTAAAAGATGCATTTTTGTTTGAAGAATAGGTTTAGCTGTGTCAAAGTATTTAAGATGAGGAAGAGAAAATAGGAAACTGGAATGAAGTTGTCAAGTTTCAACTGCACAATTGCAATTACATAATATTTAATACCCAATAAAGTTTCATTGACACCCAAATTGCTTGCCAGCTTAGGGCAGATAATTTCCTTTTTCTTTCTCCTCTCCCAAGGTAAGTAACACTAAGACAGAAGTTGGGTTAGAGAGGTATGTAACACAAAAGTCATCACTACTAAACAGATGGGAATGAACAGACACATTTCTCAAGATTGTGACTGTAGTCGAATTTCTTTTGGTCAAATAGCATATATTCTGTGATTGACCTGCATTGTTAAATTAACTCCTAGAAGAGAGGCTGTTTAGATAAGCTAGCTCTTCCTATTTACCCTTGCAAGCTTTGAGATAACAAACTTCCATCTTTAATCCCAATCAGACCATTTTTTCCCTGTTTGTGGTAGCAGGCACCCAGTCCCTGAGACACTTAATCCTCGTAAATATTTAACCTTCCTTTGCTGATGCCCAAACTGAACAACTCTGGGAATGAAGAAGGAAAGAGAAGCTGGACAAAATGTGTCCGGTTAAAGCAATCCTTTTGTGAGTTGTGAGATCAGAATGGAGGAAGAGTGCCTGATGCTGTATTTAATGGGGGACAATTTAAATAAACATGATACTGTTTGGTTTGATCCTGGCACCTCTTTTATTGTCCTCCTTCTTCAGCATCCATCCTGCATATTCCATATTAGCTGGCAATACAAAATCTCAGAAAATAGCATATGAATTCAGAAAGCATCAAGCCACTCCAGAGATAATCACAACTTTGCTTTCTGATTATCCCTGTATAAGCCTGTTCCTTGTGTCCAGTTGGCTTGACTGGATGAGGGCAGATGAAGACGTCAGTGGTAGGAAGGCCCCAAGTCCACTTCCATTGGAGATCTGTGAGGGAGCCAGTGAGGTGTTGTGGTTGGTGTGTTGGACTGCAATAGTGGGAAATCCAGGTTCAAATCTTTCCTCAGCCATGAAACTCCCAGAATGACTTTGGTCCAGTCACTATCTCTCAGTTTATTACAGCATTTAGGATTGGGGAAGAAAACCACGGTTATTGCTTTCAGTTCCTGACAGAAAACTATGTCACAAATATATAGTGTAAGATCATTCTCTCTGCATTATCATTGATAAGACAAATTTAGAGAGATTTATGTAGAATCTAGATAGCTCTCTGTCAGGAAAATTGAAGCAAAACAGAGTCATATCTTGCAAAACTCTCCAGTCACTGGATGGCAGGAAATAGAAATAGGTGCCCTCTAGTGGTCTAGATTTTTTTTTTGCACCCCATATACTCTTATGAATAGTTTTTATTATTAATATTAATAATTAATATTACATTTATTTGCCCCATCTTGCCACAAGATGACTCTGAGTTATCTCTAGATGTGGTACATGATCTTTAGAAGTCCATCCAACTCTATGATGCTATGAAGAGAGAAACTTCCATTCCCAGAATGGATCCAGACTGGATGATACTAGTCTGTAGTACAGATAACTTATCCATTTTGTTTTCTATAAATTTAATTTTTTTTAAAAAAAAAAAGTTATGTTCATTAGTTCAAATAATATACCATTTGCAGCCAGTTTTCTTGGTATGCAAATTGTGTGTAAACATTTAAAAATATGCAATTGGCGATGTCAGTTCTAGTTCATATCTTACCTCAGGAAGTATAAATTAGATCAGTTTGTATTAATGCAGTCCAAGTATTTCCTCCCTTAGTCTGTAGGAATTTTGTAGGAAATTCAACCTTTTAATTTCTCCTCATGTGCATACCAATAATTTACTGGATGTAACTGCCCAACTCCATCAGCTTCCTATGTAGTTCATTTAAAGATTCTCTTGTTTAAATCAATTTTACTTCTGAAAACAATGAACTTGAGCCAAAGCATGAGTATTAACAATGCTGGCATTGTTTTGAGCAAAGACCTAGATATATCAATTTGACATCTTTGCATGATTGTGTACATGTCTAGATTCAGGACATACGGAATCAACTAGCAATAACTGAATAATCAGACTGGCGTTAATTTCCATCTGTAGGAATTAAGAGATGAATTGGCTCATCAGCTTGACATAAAACTATTAAACCAAATCCTCATGATGGTTATGCAATTTTGTTGGATAAGGCAGCTGTTGAAAAAGCTATTAAAAATTCAAGATTTTTGCAATTATTAAACTGCATCTCATAAGTAAGTCTGTTGTAACAAATAACTTCATGCTCCACTATTTAGTGCTAAGGTTTCCCCAATCGTAAAGCAAGTTTATTTTTATCTTCTCAAAACAGAAGGTTGCTTTAACCAAATCTCTGTGTGTCTGTGCATATGTCATTAATGCACTTTGCTGCTCCTAATGGACTTAGAGAGCATGTTCAATTGGCACTATATTCATTATGGGTCTTTTCTATTTCAACATGCTTCCATTCCCTTTTTCTCCCCTCATCCCTTATCATTCCTACAAATGGCCCTAAAAATGGTTTTTCTTTACTGGTTAGAAGAGAGTTCTCAAGGCTGTATAAGATAGCCCTGTGAAAATTTCATTCCTGTGGGTGGCTGCCATAGAAAATGCTATGCAGTCTGTTCTCCATTTACGACAGTCCATTTAGTGACTGTTCGCAGTTACAACAGTACTGAAAAAAGTGACTTTTGACAGTTTTGCACACTCACGACCATTGCAGCATCCCCATGGTCACGTGATTAAAATTTGAACACTTGGCAACTGGTTCATATTTATGATGGTTATATGTCCCCGGGGGGGGAGTCATGTGATCATCTTTTGAGACCTTCCAACAAGCAAAGTCAATGGGGAAGCAGATTCACTTAACAACTATGGCAAGAATGGTTGTAAAATGGGACAAAACTCATTTAGCAACTGTTTCGCTTAGCAAAGGAAATTTGGGGCTCGGTTGTTAGTCGCAAGTTGAGAACTATCCGTATTTCACATTACAGATATTTAGGAAAGAGAGAATATTAAGGAATCAATTATATACAGCACCTTATATACATTTTAATGCACAATACTTTACAAGACAGTGTTCAGTCTAGACACTGTCTCAAAATTGAGATTATAGACTTATACGGTAGTCTCTAGAAAGGTCTATTAAAATTATCCAAGTTAAATGCGGTAGGACAGATAGTGGGGAAAGCTGGAGGCTATGGTTTGAATAATGCAGTGAAGATGAATATTCAATTTAAGACTGCTAAAAGAAAGTCCTTCACACTTAAGCAGATAGCTTGTCTATGGAATTCCTTACCACAAGTTGTAATGGTAGCTGCCAACTTGAAAAAGTTTAAAAAATGTAAACATGGTGAACAATCCTGTTTATGGCATCATATTTTAGTTTTATTTTCAAAGACAGCATGGTTCCCAAAGCAGTTATTGAAGAATACAAGTGAGAAGGGGGATGTCTTGCTTGAGTTCCCATCACATCTAGTTGGTTGTTGTGGAAACAGCACGCTAAGCCAGATAAAACTCATCAGTTCTTTTGAAGTTAAAACAAAGCTAATGACAGACTCCACCATATATTTTCCAGCTGTAAAGTCTCATATAATTATTTTCCCCTTATAAGCCCCTTTCTCCAGTACACTTAGCAGACATACAAGTATAAACCATGACCATCGTTTTTTCAATATATCAAGAGAGACAAAGCAACACACACAGACTTATGGCACAAATAACTTCCTATCAGTTCACATCAGTATATTTTATGGTAACTGTTTTCACCTCAGTGAAAAATTCATACGAATCCTTAGCTCCCTCTCTACCTATCCCAGAGGCTTTCATTCCCCCAAAGGGCAAATTCAGATCTCTGATCAGCCAACAATTGGTCCACACCAAACCAGACTGGAGTCTTTTAGCAACACGATGAATCCGGCCCACATTGTTTGACCAAACTGTGGCTGCCAGGCCATATTTGACTCCATTGGCTCTCCTAATCACTTCCTCTTCTGTGTCAAATACCATTACACAAGTTACAGGACCAAAGATCTCATCCTGAATGCAGCAAGAATCGTCATCGATTTCTGTGATAACTGTGGGAGGCAAGAAATAGCCTTTTTGGTTTCTTGGAGGAAGATTCAATGAATCTATTCCCTCTCCACAAAGGATCTTGGCCCCTTCTGCCCGAGCCTGCTGGATATATTTCTTCACCTAATAGGAGCAGCAACAAAACAAGAAGCATATTTAGAGAAGACAGTAATTTCTAATTGTTAATAACAATAAGGAAATAAAAGACCAATACATATGAATATACTCTCTCACACCTACATATTTACTATATAAAACCTATATCTAGACATATTGTATGAATTAGTTAAGCTCTTGTGTTTTACATGCAATTTTAAATAACGCTCATCATTTAAAGGTTGGTTTACTTTAATTCATTTATTTAAACACACATTCCGTCTTACACCAGGAAAATGCCAATGCAATTTTATCATTGGAACATTGTGTGACTGTTGTAGCATTATCAATTAAATTTTAAATACTGTATTACATTAAGAAAGATGGAAAAATCTTAGACACATTTGAAGCTATGGCAGAAGAATCTGAAAAGTCTTCTTCAATTCTGCTGACAATATATTTGAGAAGTGAGTTGGTTTCCAACTGTGTGCGCCCAACAGTGAATCACACATCACTAAGGAGATGTTTCAGCTAGTCATATTGTTACTTATTAAGTGCACACAATAAAAAAAATAGGCAAACTTGACAACTGGCAAAATTACTTAATGATAAATAATTTTGATGGGGAAGTTTTAGGAAATACCCTGAACTTAAAGCAAGTGTTTTAACAAGTGTTTAAAACAAGATCTGTTCTTTGTCTAAAAATCATTACCAAGATATAAGAAAATCTCTATCATCATATATTGCGATACTTTCTCAAATGAGGAATAAAACACATTTGCAGCTAATTTAGCGAATTTAAAAATATTTTCAACATTGTTTACCTTTGCTAAATGATCTTTACTTATTAATGCTCCCATATCACTTGTGGGATCTGAAGGATTTCCAACTTTCCATTTTCTAACAGCTTCCACAAACCTTTTCAAGAATTCTTTAGAAATGCTCTTCTGAACAAAGATTCTGCTGGTACATAAGCATATCTCACCCTGGCAAGATCAACAATGTATAGAAAAGGGAGAAATTCAATAATAAGTCATTATTTCACTGAAGCATGAATTTTTAGTTCTTTACAAGACACATTAGTATCAGAGTGAAACTCTGTTTAGTTCACCGAAGAATTTGTTTTCTAGATTTCAGTAAGAGCAGTACATTGATAACCCTTAACATTTACAATTATGCCATAAATATAAATATCAGCAAGCTCTTATATAGTTTGTTGTTAGTATCCCTATCCATTTTTACAAGGAACATTTAGGAACTACTATTGAGTAGGTCATTTAATTCCTTCTACGACTACTGCTTTCATACCCAACAGGCAAGAGGAGAAATCATATTTTATCTTGGTATTTCCAAGGAAGAGTAGGCAGGCTACAGAAAGATTAACTGTCTACCCTCCTAGTGCCAGGGGTGGGTTCTAAAATTTTTTACTACCGCTTCTGTGAGCGTGGCTTATTTTCTGGGCGTGGCTTGATGGTCATGTGACAATTCTTTAGGATTTAGCAGAGGTACTGGTCTACCAGGCTTTTAACTACTTGCAGAGCTGTACCGGTTTACCCGTTTATTTTTGCAGGCACTGGTCTACTCATGTATTTTTGCAGCACTGGTCTACCCATTTATTTTTGCAGGCAGTGGTCTACTCATTTGTTTTTGGAGGCACCGGTCTACCACCAAACTGCCTTTTACCACTGATCAGTAGGGCGGCCCTTTGAAGCCCTGCGGCAAGAGTTTAAACAGTTTTTTTCCTTATAGCCCATCAGGGACTCAGGAGGCAGCAATAGATTAGGGGTGGGGCCAAATAAAAGGTAAGAATAACGCAGGGGGGGCGGGGGGGCAGAACCGGTTCGGTGACATCATATCGTCACCGCTACCGGCTCGGCGGAACCAGGTGGAACCAGGAGGAACCCACCACTGCCGAGTGCCCAGTCCAGGATGTGAGGAGTCCCAAGACACAGTAACAAAAGACACCAGCAATCCATCCAAGGAAAGTAGATAAGTCAGTGGAGAATTCTCTTATACTGGATCTGATATGCTAAATCTTTTGGGATGTTCTGTGTAGAACAGTAGTAGGGGGACTCTTTGGAGTGGTAAACTGTGAGGATATGAACCAGAAAGAATAATTCCAAAATGAATTCTGATAGAAAAAGGGAGCTTACTCGTCCATCATTATCAAGGAATATCATAACATTCACTTGCCACACGCTAAATAAATAAACAACATTCACTGAGAGAAGATGCCATGTTAAGTCAGATTTTTAAAAAAAATTTCTTTTAAAATGTTCTCATTCAGAATAATATACTCAGTCTTTATATTAAAATCTGTCATGGGGACCCACAGTTTCTCAAACTTCAGAAGTAAAGCTTGCGTAAGCGGAGGGATAAGCCAGCGACTATCTGTTTATACCTGGTTAGCAAAACTGGATTTTACAGTGGCAGGAATACATTGATCCAAGTTGGCATCCTCAAAAATGATAGCTGGGTTTTTGCCTCCTAGCTCCAAGGAAAGCTTCTTACAGTACAAAGCAGACCTTTGGATGATTTGCTGGCCGGTGAGTGTGCTCCCAGTGAAGGAAATCAGAGATACCGCCGGATGGGAAACAAGAGCATCTCCAGCCTTGGGCCCACTTCCGAATACGACATTTATCACACCCGGAGGAAAACCTCATAGGCAGCAGAGGAGGAAAATCACATAAACAGACCAAGTATGTAGTACATTCCATTTAAGTGGCAACTCAGAAACATACAGTATATTTTTAATACAATACTATGATACTAACTAGAGCGGCGCGGTGGCCTAGAGGTGGAGCTCTCACCTCACAATAAGGAGGCTGTGAGTTCAACCCTAGGTAGAGGCGGATATTTCTCTCTCTGGGCATACTGTGAATATATCTGCTAAACAAAACTCTGCATTGGCGACAAGAAGGGCATCCAGCCATTAAAACACTCTGCTAGCTCCATTCAGTTGCCCAGACTCCACCCCATAAGGGATTATGGGGTCGTTAAAAGATGATGATGACTATGATCCTAACTATTTAGAGTATACAAGGGTTATATATGATGGAGCTTCCTTGCCTGTTATATGATATCTTTTCAATCTATTGAAAAGCAACAAAGATGATTAGGGGACTGGAGGCTAAAACATATGAAGAACGGGTTGCAGGAACTGGGTATGTCTAGATTAATGAAAAGAAGGACTAGGGGAGACATGATAGCAGTGTTCCAATATCTCAGGGGCTGCCACAAAGAAGAGGGAGTCAAACTATTCTTCAAAGCACCCGAGGGTAGAACAAGAAGCAATGGGTGGAAACTAATCAAGGAGAGAAGCAATTTAGAACTAAGGAGAAATTTCCTGACAGTTAGAACAATTAATAAGTGGAACAACCTGCCTGCAGAAGTTGTGAATGCTCCAACACTGGAAGTTTTTAAGAAGATATTGGATAACCATTTGTCTGAAGTGGTGTAGGGTTTCCTGCCTAGGCAGGGGATTGGACTAGAAGACCTCCAAGGTCCCTTCCAACTATGTTATTCTATTCTATTCTTATTGTCATATTTCATTACAATCAGGTTCTAAATCATTCTATCAATGGAATATTAGATTGATCATGTATATGATATATAAGCTCTTTGAATCAAAGTGTTACCTACTTGTATCCTGAATCACTAATATGGATACTGCTTTAATTATTTCAGTGGAGCTACTTTTCAGGTATACCTGCTTGATTCAGAAGTTTGCACATCATCCAGGCTGTGACAGATGTCATTTCACTGGGTTTGGCAATTACAGTATTTCCACACATGACAGCAGGGGCAATTTTCCAGGTCAGTAAGTAAAGTGGCAAATTCCAAGGACTAATTAATCCAGCTTTCAAAAAGATAGGAAAAAGGAACATTTTTTTTTAAACAAGAAGTTTGATACTTAGAAATCTATGGCCCTCTTTTGAAACCCAGTTAGACAGCAGAGCATGACAGATCTATGTAAGCTTCAGTAGTCTTTTGTTTTAGCTCCATTCTATGTACTAAACTGTCTTGCAAAGGAAATAGGTAAATGGAAATGTTAAATAACAACTCGTGTTCAGGTTCTATAACAAGCTATTGAATCAGGAGACAGAGCAAGGTTTGACTCATTATTAAAAGAATAGCATCTTGCCAATCAATTATATTCTAATTGAGTGAGCTAATTATAATGGACTTACCTATGTTAGAAAAAGGCATGAAAATTTCAAGCTGTGCTTTATATTAGAAGAGAACTACCAGATTTGAGATATAAAAGTCCAGATGATCACTAAACTGCAGGAAAAAAAGACACTGAAAAGTGAGTGATGACATCTAGTGGTCATCTAGATGCTTGCAGCTCAGGACCACTTACACCAAGGGTGTCAAACTTGATCGCGACATTTTTTGTCTTTATAGAACCAGGGTGGGCGTGGCCTCCATGTGATGCATCCAGCCCGTGGACCGCCAGTTTGACACCCCTGACTTACACTACAGGTAGTCCTAGGGTCATGGCCATTAGTCAGTGACCCATTCAAAGTTAGACCAATGTTGGACAAGGGATTTACAACACCTCCAACACCTGGCCATTGCAGCATCTCTACAGTGACATGATCATGATCTGGATGCTTTGGCACTTGGCTCATGATTACAACATTGGAACGAGATGCTATCACATGATTGCAATTTCCCATGTTCCCTTCTGGCTTCCCACAAGCAAACTCAATGGGGAAGCCAGCAGGAAGTTGGAATTGCGATCACATGAGGTCCTCACTACAGATTACATAAGCCTTTAAATGGCATGCCAAGGACTATATTTCTCGAACTAGTGAATAAAGCTACAACAAAATCTAGTTTCATTTCATTCATTTGAAATAATAAGATTATGCACCAGTCACATATTTAATATTTCTCCCCTTTTATCATAGTAAAAATAATAATTTGGTAACAACTCTGAGGAACGATACCCATATTATGTAGGCCAAATGTAACTGAGTACGGTATCTCTGCTTTATAGTTCAAAACATTTTTGAAAAAACACCTGCAGTTCTTTGACAAAGACTTACCAATTCCCACTGGTGACCTTTCAGTATAGTGCATACAGCCCATGTGATCCATCTGTGTACATTCTGTTGTGTTATGAAGGATAGATGATGAAAAAAAGCGAAAATTGTATACTGCTCGGGGTATGTCCACTGTTCTGGCAAAAGAAATGGTTTTTCCTGGAACAGAAGGATATTTACCAAATAATTTTATACTTGCAGATGTTGTTGTAATGCTTTTGAAATGTACGAATCATTTCAATGGGTTTCATGTTCTAAATAGTTTTTGTAAGAATTGTTTTTAAGCATAGAATGAAAGTTGTCTAGTTATTAAGGAGGAGTGAAGACAATCTAAATGCTCAAAAGTAAAACTTCAGAAACACAAGAAAGCAAGAGGATATTAAAGGATTATGGGCAAATCCATGTAAGTCTCTCTGGCCACATTTGACCATGAGAATACATCTTCAGATTTTAAGCTTCTCTGCTATCGCATAATAGACAAACAAAAATTCTGCATCAATAGAGACAGGGCGATCCATCCCTAAAATAACTTTTGTCCATGAAGAAATGTTTATTATTCCCAGCATGCTGTATCTGTCTGCAGTTGCATTAAATATAAGGAGCTCATCAAAAAGAAACAACAACTGTCATTCAGCACCCGAATACATAGCTAAAGACACAATTATTCAAATCCAGATAAATCAATAAATAAGGAAAATATTTTTGTTTTTAATCTTTAAATGTGAATGTGAGAAAGAGCCAAATTCCAATTTGTCCATTCAGACAAGAAATTAGGCAAGTTGATTGTGTTGTTCATGTAGGGTCAATGGAAACTAGATGGAATTCAACAGATCTAAATGGTCACATATCTTAAAGAGTTCTTCATAAATCTGAGATGGGCAATATGTGGCTACCTAGATATGTTGAACTGCGTCTAATTTTTATTGGCCCTAGATGATCAACACAATCAACTTGCCTATTCCTTGGTTGAATGGACAAATTGGCTTTTTTTCACATTCAGATTTGAAGATAAAAACTAAAACACTTTCCCCCTTATTTACAAAGCCAGTTAAGAATTTTGGTTATATTTTTATAGAAAAAATAATTGAACAAAATGGCTGTAACTTTATAGACAGCACTGGGAGTTGAGTATATGTCACTATCCTTAATATATATGCTTAATTTTTAAAGCATTGCCTTTGTCTTAAAACTAAATATGGATTTAATTTGGGGTATGCCTTAGTATAATGGACTCTTGATTCTATTAGATATTGATGCTGAGAGCTGCTATTACTTTCTTAACCAGTTATCACTAGGAGCAGAAGTCAACAGGTTTTCTCCTTTACCTTGATCTTTTGATTCTGCTTGCGCAAATGACTCCAGATCTTCTTCCATAAGGTCTGCTAACTTACTCATTATTTTTGACCTTTCCTGTGGATTTTTGGCAGACCATCCTGGGAAAGCATTTTGGGCCGCTTTGACAGCAGCTTCCACCTTTAAAATGCAATCGGTAAACACGTATGTTTGCATGAGCAAAAGCCTGTATGATGCTAGATGTTAACAGAAACTATGGGAAAGCAGAAAACAAATACCGCTTCCTTGGAGGCCTGAGTTCAGATCCACTGCTATGTCGTCCTGGGTTAGGTAAAAATCAATAAGAATCCTTATTTATAAACTGAGAGGGTTTTTGTCATCCTGATCAATTGCAATACAGAATAACGTCTGTCTCCAGGGCAAGGTTGATCTAGACCAGTGATGGCAAAACTTTTCGGCTTGGTATGTCAAAAATTTCAAAAATACCTAACTGGACCCTAGTGGCATTGCACACTCCTCTCCAAACAAGAGAAACAAATTTTTATCTCCCTTCGCCCCCCCCCCCCCCATTTAAGCCACACTGAACAGCAACTCTCGGTCAAAGTACACTGGCTGAGCCTGAAGTAAAGGCCTGAGCTTCAACTTTAGCCTTAGCGCCACTGCTACCATTCGAAAAAGCCCCGTTGCTCCGTTCCCCAAGGTGTGATTGCCTCCATAATCCAGTGCTGCCATGCACCCTTTACCTTCAGGTGGTGCTCTCTTTTTGTTGATAGGTCCCTACCACTTACCTGAGGTTGCTCCAGGTCACATAAGGCCTTTATTCTTGAAGCTGCTTTGGAGAATGCTCTTCCATGATGGGGTGGAGAATGCCTCAGAAGCCTCCAAAAATGACACGAAAGCATGCCCTGTTCTCACATGATTTTTGGAGACTCAAAGGCCATGCAAGAGCACAACCCTCTCACATAACTTCCAGAGGTTCAAGAGCCCATGAGAGACATCCCATTCCATGTGGCCTCCACAACTTCCAAAACTGAGAGCGGGGTATGCTTTCAAGAATCGTTGTTGGGTGTTGATTAACACTGGTGTGTCAGCCAAAATGTGTTGATGTGTCACCTTTGACATACATCATAGGTTCGCCTTCACTGATCTAGACATATGACAGTTAAAGATAGAAACTGAACAGTTCTGTTCAAGTTATGCCAAATGTATTTGAATTAGAAGGGTAAGACATACCAATTGATATACAGACACATATAGATACATGTATTTGTATGTGTTTTCATCATCCCTTCAAGGGGCATTTTTGTTATCTTGTTTGGTATTTTTTACTTGCTTACTTTCCAATTTAACATTCAGAATTACAGCCACTAGGCAGCACTATTGAGCTGTTACTTCTGCAGAGTTCTGCAGAATTGTCACAATGTCTTTCATTTTAAGCAAGGCCATAGTATTACCAACTTGCATTTTCAAACTAATCAGTAACTGAAATTCTCTGTGCAGGGTATAGTAGCATTCAATGTGCTACACCTGCTTGCACTCATGTCTTGCCATATGCTCTTCCCCAAAGCTGATCTAAAGTTTTCTATCTAAGATAAGAAATATATATATAACAATACCATGAATTTAATTATAATAAATCAATTTAATTCATTATTTAACTGAATTCAAATTAATTAAAATTTTATGCTTGATCTGGTCTTGCTGCTTTCTTTGTCCTGATCCTGCCTTTGATATGTGATTCAAAGGTTAAATACAATGCTGAGGGTGAAATGTATTGGAAACCCCAAGAAGCCTAAAAGCTTTCTTGTCCTGCTGACCACAATATTAAATGAACAATCAAGATTATTCTTTAAACATCTTTTTCTATGTATCTAATATACAATTCATTTTCTGTTTGCATAGGAAAATAAGTTATAAGAGGGCAAAGCTCCACAGTGTAAGTTTAGGGGGGGGGAATGCTAGTTATACTTCAACCACTATTTATGCATACTTAAGCAAACATTTGATTGACTGGAATTGAATGCTAAAGGGTCAAAGTTAAAATTGTAAAAGTGTAGAAGAGTATTTTATCTCCAACCTCAGTCATTACCGGTAGATCATACAATTATTATTTTGATTGGGCCTTTTAAAGGAATTAAGCAGCCAATAAGGAAAGCTTATGAATTTTTTTTCCTCTTCATTTTGCCTTGAAGTTTGACACAATTCCCACTCTGCCACATAAAAGAGACATTTCAAAGGAAATGGCGTTGAACTTTGAGCTGCTGATCTAGGGCTATTGCTGCTAACACAACACCGTGTTATTATACTGAAATACAGCCTTATCATTTCCCACAAGCAAAAAAGATAATTCAATATAACATTAAAACTAGCCAATATTTCAGTACGATTTGTGTTCACAATTATTACAAACACCTCATACAATCTCTTTGTACAACTCTACAAAATCATGAAAAAGTTGAATATAAATTTCTGTAGGAACTCACCTCTTCCCTGCCACTATCGGGTACTTTGCAATATACTTCACCAATAGATGGGTCATAAGAATCTAGATATGAGGAACACGGCACAAACTGGCCACCGATATAGTTCTCCAAAATCAAGTGAGTCTGTGAGGGGGTCATTGCAACTCAGTTTGCACTGTCCAAGCACTGTTACTAAGTTTGTGATTTATAGAGGATACTTCTTTATTTGCCAGCTTCAACTCCTCCTCCTTTGGCAATAATTCTTTGACTGGATCAAAAACTCAAATGCATCCACAGCCTAAGCCAAATGAACTATAACTATAAACATTGCGGAAATAATTTCATCAGTATAGTATTATTTGCTTCATAAAAATGGCATTATAAATATAATCACTTTGGATTCATCATCAAAGTTGCGATGTTCTGGAGGATTCCACTTCAATCTTAATGCTGGCAGTAATTTTGATGAATTATTTCATTTTTACTATGCTCGTTTATTGTACTGTAGCATATGATGTGGAGTGGGTAAAACTATACTGTACTCAGGAAAAATAGATTAGATTGCTGTTGTTTTTTAATTCCTTCCAAGCATTTCTAGGAGAGAGTGCAATTTATCAATGTATGGGAAAAAAATTTAAAAATAAAAGTGAGGAGTAAGTAGCAATCTAGTTCAAGGCAGACATAAAGTATATTTAGAACCGTTGATTACAGGAGATGTAGAGTGATTTCCAATTTCGAGTATTTGTTCGAGTATTGTTTCGAGTATTAATTATTCCAGTGGTGGAATTCAAATTTTTTTACTACCAGTTCTGGGCGTGGTGTGGCTTGATGGGCGTGGCTTGATGGGCATGGAAGGGGAAGGATACTGCAAAGTCTCCATTCCCACCCCACTCTGGAGCCAGCCAGAGGTGGTATTTACAGGTTCTCCGAACTACTCAAAACTTCAGCTACCAGTTCTCCAGAACCTGTCAGAATCTGCTGAATAGCACTCCTGAATTATTCCTGTTTTGTCCCTCCCTGAGATGTACATACACTACTGAAATGAAGAAAGCTTTACGTAACAATGAATATATTTTTATGCAGAAGGACTACATACTTCAATTCTCATACTCATATAAAATTATACCTTATGAAATTATTTGTTTTAATCGGGTTTGGGGAGTTGCAATAGCAGCTTTATTTTTAGATACAACGATCAGATAATTGCTATGTTTTGTTCCATCAGAACCAATTCTTTTTTGTCAGGATTTTAATTTATAAAAGACCATGGAAATAGCCAAAATTATGCTCAGATGACTACTTTATTATACTTCTACAATTTAAAAAATAAAATTAATCATTATTGGACAAGCTATATCTACTCAATTTTTTAAATAAAATTAGGATGGAAAGAAATTAAGTTGTAGGTGCAGCATTACATAATGTTTTCTGAAACAGAAGGAAACAGGATTCTTTGAAAACATAGTTGTATAAAACTTCGAATATTTTAGCTCAATTAATATGTAATTTATAAAATACCATGCAGCAAAGTATCAGCTCTCCCTATAAATTGTAAACAAACATTAAGGCTGGAAGTAACATTTTTTTCCATGATGAATCGCCATTCTTTAATACATCATTCCAATCAGTTTTTGAAAACAATGCACTAGAACTATTGATGGGATGACATTTTAGTTTGGGAATATGCTGAAACTTGTGCAGTGAAAAAGTGCAATGAGTATTTTCTTGCTGGCATATTGTTCTACAGCAACAATGGCCTTGAAATGTTTGCAGAGTACCCAATACATAATTGCCAATACATAATTGTCTTTGTTCCTTCAACAGATACAAATGGATTGGATTCCTCAGAGAAGTATATTTGAGCATATGATTTCATTTGGCTGGATTGCAGATGTCCTGGCACACTATCACTCCTTAATCTAAAATAAAACAGAAATATCATTGAACATTTAAAAAAAAACAACCTCTGTTATACTTTGAGAACAGCTCCCCCCCCCCCCCAAATATACAAGCCTGCAGTGTTGATCTATAATGTTGTACTACGTGCAGAGAGATACTGGTCATTACAGCTGGTCAGGCATATAGAAATGCAATATTAGACTTCTTGGATTCCAGTTTTGTCTCACCAAGCTTATCAATCAATTAAAGTTCAATATTTTAAAATTAAATATCAATGCATATATAGCCATAGGTAAAATCTAGGCCCCAGTCCAGAATGGCAATCAGAGATATACAGTGTCAGGGTTCAAACAGAAGTGAGTACACCCTCTCACATTTTGTAAACATTTAAGTATATCTTTTCATGTGACAACACTGAAAAAATGACACTTGGCTACAATATAAAGTAGTGAGTGTACAGCTTGTATAACAGTGTAAATGTGCTGTCCCCTCAAAATAACACAACACACAGCCATTAATGTCTAAACTGGTGGCAAACAAAAGTGAGTACACCCCTAAGTGATAATGTCTCTAATAACAATTTACAAGATAAATTTTGGGAACTAAAAATGTAACTATTTCTACAGTGCTTATATTTGATTAAATGTATATTTCGTTAAAAATGTTTAACAAAATATTTTCACACTAAATATATTAGCATTGTCAGATCTGGTTACTCAAATGTTAATAGTGCATATATGTTTATTTATTTAAAATGGTTAACAAGAGACACAGCTTATGATTTCATAATTAGCATTTATAAAAGCATTCACAAAAACGTTGTACCTCCACAACTACTCCTGCTGCTATAGTGGATCCTCCATAGCGCAACATAAATCTCCCAAGTTCTTTAAAGTCTTTATAAAGCTCCAAAGCAATAGGCCTTTGGGTCTGTAGTTCTATTAAAGCATTCTGCCCTTTTGTCAGACACCTACAAGGAAAAGAACACTTGTTAGTACTTGTTAAGAATTATATTACTATGAAAGGCCATCCGATTGTGTATGCTTGTGTTTTCAGATATACAGAACGAAAGATTTTGTATAGTTTCCACCTAAAACTGTGCAAAGAGTATCATGTCCCTCTCCTAAACAGCATGGAATTGCAAAATCTGATGATATTTTGATGATTCTCTCATTTCAAGCTTATTTTTCCCATAAATCCACACACACCAAGGAATTCATAAGCTGGAAGCAGCCAAATGTTAATCATAATATACCATCTCTAAATTTTATCAAATCACATCTCACTTTGAAATCGGAATCTGTGACAATGTACAATTTATAATTTACTTATATAGCAACACCCTTTCAATAATTCAGAAAAGGCAGTCTGCCAATATAACATACTTCAGCATTACACTTGTCAATACGAATAAAACACTCTGTAGGCACTAATGTTAACAGTAATTATTTAAAATATATAATGGTCACTGATTTTACATTCAATTTCTATTAGTTTTAATTAATTCATAATTTCAATTTTCAAAATTTTTTAAACTATATTAATTACATTGATGCTTGTATATTAACAAATTACCTTAACATACTTACTTAGGTTTTTTCTTGGCAACTTCACCAGTACTCTTATGAAGCACACTCAGCAATTTTCTAATAGTAGCAGGCTCACTGACAGTTTGAAAATGTAAGAGGACCTAAAATAAAATGTCATTTTAATTGACATTGTCAGCAATTGACAAAATATAGATTTACCTGAAAAAAATTGTTCTATGAATACAACGTAAAAAGACATGGGGAGATTTTGATCAATTCTACATTTTTATTTTATTGTACAATATAAAGTTACACTTTCCTATTTTCTCTCTTATCAGTACTTTGAAATTCTTCTGAATTATTACAACCATTCCGTCAGCGAATACAGTTGAGATGGCACTGAACAAATGATGGTTATTACCAGTCCTTAGAATTCTGGCAATCCCAGCACACCTGCGGTCACATGATTGCTATCTGGGTGCTTGGCAACAACCATTTACATTTACGACCAGTTGCAGCACCCTGCCATCATGTGATCGCCTCTTGTGACCTTCCTTGCAAGCTTCCTCTGAAAGTTAATGAGAAAGCTGGCAGTGACTGTCCCAAGTCACTGAGGTAAATCTCCCCATCCATCCATCCTCCCCCAATCCTTCTAGCCTCATGTCACACCATCCACTTGTGCATCTCTGCACATCCACCCTGCGCCTTGCCATGGCTACGCCACTATTTGTGTACCTGTGTGTACCTCAGAGCCTCACTGTAC